GTAGGAGTATGTTACGAGTATCACGCATCGAAAAATCCACCTAGTATTCAAAGTCGACAACAACAAGTGAAACAGCGAAGTGTATTTCAACAAGACGATCATCACACCAAAGAGCAACACGACTTTTATAAAATATATAAGAGTCCAAAGCAACGTCACAGAAATCACGCTGGCAGGTAATGGTTCAGGGCAAATCACGTTTCCCGAAAGAAAGGAGGGAGTGTAACGGCCAAAATTTTGTCAACCAAAAATTTGATCGTTACAACGTCGTGGGTATAGCTGTCTACTAAACACAACACGACCACCTAACACACAACAAGTAACACTCACTCGAAGGTTCCTGTAATAAAAATTGTTAAATACTTATAAAAACATTAAGTTAAACCAACTCACCCCAATCCTCTGCCACCAACAACGTGACTTTGAATTTGACAAATCTTAAAATTGTATGAAAATCCTTGGTTAGTGCGTGAACAATTTTTGAATAAATAAGACACATATCTTGAGCTATCGTTGGGTGTCCTATTTTGCTGGAACTTTATTGGAAAATAAAATCATTTTAAAATAATTTTCTAATTAATAGAATTAAATACACACGTTCACCGGCACAACACATTGCTAACAAACAAACGAGAGCAAAACAAAATAATAGTAAAGAGACCTGTCAAACGAAGAAAGCTTTGTGCAGAAAAGGTGTAGAAGTGGATCACAACTCAGACAAAAACCACTTCTAAAAGGTACTCAAAGAAATGTAAATTCGCCGTGAAACTAAACTTTCGCTCAGTGCGGTACAGAAAAGGAGCTTTAATGTTGGGTCAACAAACTTTAACGTTTTTTTTCAGCTGACACCGTTGACCATGGAGGGGATAAAAGGAGCGTTCACCAAGAAGAAGGTCTCTTGTTTTGTTCTACCGCGGAAGAAGGACTCCTGGCTCTGGTTTCCGTTGCAGCTAAAAAGTACGTGACTAAGACGGCGGTGTCACCAGTGAAATATGAGTGACTCTTCAAACTTAGTGAGAATATTTTGTTAAAAAAAATTATACATAGAGATTATATATATTGAAAATTTTATTGACGAATTGTGAACATTTTAAAAAAAATTGAATCTTGTAATCAAAGTCAAAGTTAAGTAAAAATAAAAATTACGTATAATTTAAAATTTTGTACACAGAAATTATAAATTTGATAATATCGAATTATTGAAAATTTTATTAATAAATTATGAACATTTAAAAATTGAAACTTGTAACCAAAGTCAACGTTAAGTAAAAATAAAAATTACGTATAATTTAAAATTTTGTACACAGAAATTATAAATTTGATAATATCGAATTATTGAAACTTTTATCTATAAATTGTGAACATTTAAAAAATTGAATCTTGTAACCAAAGTCAAAGTTAAGTGAGAATAAAAAGTACGTAAATTTTAAAATTTTGTACACAGAAATTATATATTTGTTAAAATCGAAATATAGAGAAAATTTTAGTTATAAATTGTAAACATTTAAAAAAATTGAATTTTTTTGACCAAAGTCAAAGCGAAAGCAAAAATAAAACGTATGTATAAATTAAAATCTTGTACACATAGATTATATATACATATATTGGAGAATATCGAAATATTGAAAATTTTGCAATAATAAATTGGAAAAAAAAAACTTAACAATTGAATTTTACTAGTGGCTGTAAAGCCAAATAAAAGTACGTACAAATTATATTTTAGACATAATTGTTTGGTTGTTAATATAATAAATCTTAACAATTTCTTTTATATCGAATAAATAAATTAAAGGAAAATAAACTAAAAGTGTATTTCAACAAACGCAATCAGATTCTTAACCAAGTACAGAATTAGACATAATTGTTTGGTTGCTAATATAATAAAACTTAACAATTTCTTTTATATCGAATAAATAAATTAAAAGGAGAATAAACTAAAAGTGTATTTCAACAAACGCAATCAGATTCTTAACCAGATACAGAATTGATAAAGTACCACATAGACTAGCTACTCCTGAACGGTATAAATTCAAGGCGGGAATCCAGCACAACAACACAAGTGAGAGACACAGGTAAGAAAGATTCGGGGCTTCAATAGTAACTGAATCTCGGTTGTACGGGGTATAACTCACGTAGCTTTAATAGTTACGTGAGTCTATACCATAGTGTCGGAAACGATAGGTAGCTTTAATAGTCACCTAACGTCTCCGGCCCCTGGGCGCTTTAACAGTGAACAGGGAAGGGCGTGTGACCTGCGACCTATAACACAACGCACGTAGCTTTAACAGTCACGTGTGTCTGCGTTATATCGTGTCGGCTGTCTGGCGAATTAGTATTTATAACATCAGCTCAGCTCATCAGCGATTTAGTTTAGTTTCGATCAGGTGGCCTACGGTTCTGTTCATCGTCATCGTGAAAACTTGAAGTGATAGGGTCTCACTAAATAAATTTCTTGTGTGGACCTTGGGGACGGCTGAGTTCAACCCCAGCTTTAAACGAACCAAAATAAAGGTTCATTACATTGCTTAATTAAAATTCAGAGTCATTGAATGAAACTTCAAAAGCAATTCAAAGCTCTTGTTTTTAATTGGCAATACTTGTTATGATTTAGAAAAATAGATAAATACTAAATAATTATTATTGACAAAGTTGTTAGCGCCAAGTTAATAACGAAATAAATAATTACTCGTAAATATTTTATGATAATAATGAAAACAATTGATGACAATCAATCTTCAATTTACCATAATGATGTTTTTATAATGTATGAAAAATCACAGAAAGAACAACGTAATTAAGTTTAATCATCATCTTCATTCAGAAAAAATTATGAAAAAATACGAACTGTTTCTGTGTTGCATACTTTTAGGCAAACACTTGTTTTGTAATAAGCTTAACTTCAATTGACGGTCATATAATTATTATCTTTAATTCGTAATAAATAAGTTCACAAAAAGTTACAATAAAAACTAGAGATCGAAACTATTCAATAAAAATCTAAAACAATTATTCTATTATATATACTTACATAGAAAACTTGAATTTTCAGTGTATAAACAGTAGTGGTTTGTTTTTGCTATTAATAATACATATCATATATGATAGTAAAATATATTTTGTAGCATAATTTCTGCTTGGTTATCAGAAGCAGATATTTGTTTGTGTAATTAATTTACAAATTTGTATGTAGTTCTACATTTATGCAACGGAAAATAGAAAAACAAGTCTTATACTCGCAAGGTTCTATTGTAGCTATCCAGAATTTACGCATTTTGTTAGAGTTTTGGAAGACCCCATGTACCGCACATTACCCATGAGAGATTATCATGACCACGTTTAATTTGTTTAATTTTGCGACATTAAAACTACTACTTCGAGAAAGGTGTTTCTAGTTGATTGCGGCCATAAAATTTTAGAAGTTAGAGGCATGATTTATTTTATAAGTGGATAAATATATAAAAATACATGGGATGCTACTTACAGCAAATAACATGACTACCCTTCACTCAAGGTGTGTAAAGTGTGATTCAGATTTACTGTGCCACATCAAGGATTTGTGGCAGAGTATATAGACAGTGTATAAACAAATATGTATTCCGAATGGACTCATTAACATCATGTTTCGGTTATGTCATACGTCAGAATGTCTACTTCTGGTTTAACGACAATAAATATCTCAGTTCTTGAACAAACTTTAAATTTCATAGATAAATACGATGTTTTGGGTTTTAAGCAGTTATGAATGGCTATTGAAAATTAAATTTCATAAAAACTTATAAAAAGGAAAATATCTATTAGATATTTTATTTATATCAATACATTCGGTATAGTTGCGTTCTACAATTCCAAGCACTTTTTACAACGTGGTAGTATATAGTACAATATAGTTTTTTATAATACAGGTATTATAATTTAGCTACATTTTAAATATATTTTAACTATGAACTTACGGCTATGACAAACGTAGTCGTCTGCTGGCATTATTTAATGTAATTGCTACTTTTTTCTAGAATCAATAAATATTTTATAGAAATTAAAGATTACCTAAAGATTATAACATACCGTTTTGTGGGATCATTAATATATCATTATATAATAACAACAATAAAATTGAAATATTAATAATACATTTTTATTGTTTTACCTCCCAGTCATTCATTATAAATTTCAAGCACGAAACTGCGAAAGGCCTTATTCAAGTCATCAAGGCATTACGCACGCCCCTGAACAGTTGCCGCATAATAAAAAAAACATTTCAAGCAGTAAAAATTTAATAAAACAATTCATTGCGGATTAAGCGAGATTTTTTCAATTTATTACAGTTTTTGTGTAAATAATTTGTTATTAATTTTTTTTAGTCACATGATAAAGTTTGTTACCAAAAAAAAAAAAAACTGAAACCTCTCGAATGTATTAATTCTGTACAAAAATTTGGAATCGTCACTTGAAGAAGTGTGAATTATGCTCGGCAAAGTAGCCAAAGACCTGCCACCTGTGTTTAGCAACGAAATAGGAAAACAGTGGTTAGAGTTCAAGTTGGCTTACGTAAAATCATTTGATGTTTTTATAAACTGCTAATTAATAATATTTATCTTTTTTGTTATGCAAAGCCTGTATAATTAAAACATCTGCTCAATAAAGACTGAGCTTCAATCTATTAGCACCAGCTCATTAACAATGTGGAGCTGTGAGAAAGTTCAACTGACTAAGTCACATTCTCTTCATTGTGTCCCAAATGTGAAATACTCGTTTTAATTTTAACATATATTTTAATCGGATTAAAATCAATTTCAAGTATAAATTATTCTACCTGAGTACGTTGAACAAATGCAGATATATATCAGATCACTTTTTCACAATTGCTTCATATTGTTCTAACTTGTAGCTCAGAAAACAATGTATTCTAAGCAATACTCGTATTATATATGTTAATATATTTACATTTAATTTCGACATTAATCTAAATCATTAGTATTTATAAATTAAGTTGGAGTACTTACACTTTCAGAACGGCTATCGGTTTTCTCTTCTTCCGTTAATGGTTCTTGTTCTTGCATTTGACATTTCAAACGTATTGCTTCGATTTCCAGCGCATTTATACCCGATGGCATTGAAATTGAGTTTCTGCGCAGATTCCTTCCAATATTATTTGTATTAATGATGACTTCAGGTGTTATACAACCACTGCAATAACTACTTATGCTTGAATCCTGCTCGTGTGCGCCATCCAGTAATCTTATGTTCTCTGCAGAATTGTGTATGCTTTCCCGACTTCCATTTTTTTTCTCATCTTCATCTATGTTTATCAAAATCGAAAGATCAACATTTCTTCTTTCGCTTAAAGAGGCCTTACGTCCATTATGTGTTGACGTTTTAGACACACTATCGGCGGTTTCATCATCAGCATATGGAAAGTCTAAGTTTTCCAGTGACTTTTGAATAAGTGGTTCTCTTTGGTGTTCATTTTCAATTTGTTGATCTTGATTAATTTTACTCATATTAATTTATTTATTTATTTTTTTTCTGTTTTATTATAAAACAAAATCGTATATTATATTTTCCTTTTTGGTTTAATTCAAATTTTAAAAGTTTTTATATGTAATGCGCTTATCATAATGTCTAGAACTAATATATACGATATATTTTAGTTAAAGATATTTCGGTGTAAGCACAAAATAATAAATCATAATAGTCTTCTAAATATATCTCAGTCTATATGTTTTCATTTCTAATGATCATTCATCTGATCATGCAAATTTTAAGGGACTGAAAATTTCAAAAGCACATAAATTATGTAGGACTATACCGTCTATTTTTTATATTTCCTGCTTTTTATAATCTTGTCGGAGTGCAGGCAAAAACCAAAAAAAACTAGCGAAAATATATGAAAGTAAAGTAAGTACTACGATTCTTTATATAGTGTAAATTTTATTAAAATATGTAAGTATTGTATGTATAATATACTAAAGCTTTACTTTAGATCTTTACAATATGTGGTGTCAATAACAACTTTTGGTCCTGAGGCTGTAATCGAACTTTTCTAAGGAAGGAGAACTTTTTTGTCTACAAGACAAGCATCGCTACTAGAATTAATCAAATTTTTATTAATTATTAAACACACAGGCGCACTTTAATATATAGGTTAGCCACACACATTAGAATTATTTTCTTCACCATTATTTTTATTGTTCCCGAGAGTGTCATAAATCCGACCTAAATATCGATAGAAACTTTCATTGAAAGTTTTATTTATCGATAATTTTTTAAATAATATTAAGAATCATGAGATTCGATCTTTTGCGTTAAGTATTGTATATACACACCAATTCACAAAATCTGGCAATTATAAAACGAAATTACTTAATTTTCTGTCATTTTTAATTATTTTAATTTATGAGGCACAGACAATTCAGACAATAACAAAATTAAATTTACATTTTTAACAACAAAATTTAATTAATTTTAATTATGAAACTTAATCAGAAAAATTCACTGCGAATCTCACTCCGCCATGTACGCTCGGTGCGAATTTAAAAATTCGTTTGAACAAAACTGAAAATTTCTACACAAGAAAAGGTTAAAATCGCTTATTCGCTTATTCGCTTTTCGCTTGTTTTACAAAATCAAAACAAAAGCAAATCTACTCGAGTGTGCCAATCGCGATCGGTTGTGAGCGACCGTGCGAGCATCGAGTCAACAGCAGTTAAGAAGACACCTAATCGATTCGGCACGGCTCCTTTACGGCTCGAAACCGCCGCTCGGCCATTTCATTCACGTCGTTTATACGAGAACCAACGATCGGTTCATAAAATAATTAATTTGAACACAACAAAAATAATGACAACAAAAAAAAAAAAATTAAAAATAATATTTATCTACACTAATTAAACCCTTAAAAAATAATGACAAAA